TTCTTCCATTGTGCTCTGTACGTTCAACACCCACTGGTCCTGTTCTCGCTCACCCACGACCCTCTCTTCTCTCTGATACTCCTTCCTCGGACAGGATGATCGAGGCAGTGCCTTGACCAGACTTGTTGTCGCAAGTTCAGGTGAATGGAAACAAAAAAAACAAAAAAAAAAACGGAAGAAACAAGGAGGAGAGAGAGAGAGAGGTGGAGAGAAAAGGGTTCATGCAGGACATTCCCCTTGTATCCCATCATCTGTATGTGACACACTGCGCGTGCGTGTACGGGTAGATTGTGAGACTTTTGGCTGTGACCGGACCTTGTTTCCCCCCCCTCCCGCGACGGCATATATATACGTAAATATATATATATGTATATATGTATATATATGTGTGTATATATATGTATATTATGCTACTTCATCTGTACTCTCAGCAGGGTAGACGATAGGAAATATCGCCATGCTAGATGCTCTCTGCTCGCATATATATAATCCGTATACCCGCATGCCTTGGGGATGATCGTTGGCGGGCCGGCCCCCCAGCCGCGCTCATACTCGAGTATATGGGCAGCCTTCACTCCTCTTGGCGCGTCTCACTTCCGCGGCGTGGACTACGTCGACAGGGAACCATCTGGAGCAATCTGTCGAGTGCCAGGCTCCGCCGCCCGACATCGTGGCCGGTCGCTTGATCGAGAAGCCACGGGCTGACCTCGACGGTCGAGTGTCGTGACACTGCGAGGCGCGGGATTCGTGGGGAGAGAGAATGTCGTGACCTGCCTTTGCCAGTTGCTATCCATCCAGATTGGAGGTTGAGACGACGTCGAAGGCTTGCTATCCAGCCGAGCTCTGATAACCCTAACCCTGTCTCTCTTTCTCTCTCTCTTGTTCTCGGGCAACCCGATCATGACGCGATAAAGAGGCGTTATCAAACTGGATGATTCGTCGAATGCGTGGCACATGCATACCAAGCAGCCGAGGACGCCAATTTCATCTATTCCGCAGCATCCTCCGAGCTCATCCTCTCTACATAGCCCTCGGTCAGGATGCTGACAAGATGGTTCCTCTGAACCGATAATACTACGGATGCTCTCTGCCTCGAGCCCTCATATGATAGGTACATGACTCGATACCTGACTGCGTACATGGCTGCAACGACGCCATCATCACCCGCTTCTCTGAGAAGTTTCTTGACTTTATCTAGAGACCCCCTTCATCTGACCGATGATGACACGCATTGACCAACTTTTCTCTGAGGACGGCCTCAGCTTGATATCCATCTCTTGCATGTACTTGAACGTTGATGAGCTAAGTATATATACATGTATGTATATATACTTATATATATACATGATAAGTATGAGGAGAAGAAGAAAGAATAGGGGGGGGGAGGAAAGGAGAGGGAGAAAAGGGAGAAGAAGAAGAAGAAAAACAGGAGGCGAATTATCCTCGTATCCCTCCTTGCACCCAACTCGAACCCTCTTTGTTGTTTTTTTCCTACCGTTGTCTTCCTTCGATCTCGTGCATATATATCCTACCGGCCATGCATGCACGTGTTCAAGTTCGAGACATGGCACAGGAAAGAAGAGAAGAGAAGAACGAAAGTATTGAGATCAGACCCTATCCGACTGTTTTTTTTTTGGGAGGGGGGGAGGGGGGTTTACTTGCTTTTTCTTCATCTTCTTTCTTCTTCCTGATACTTGTACGTACGACCAAGTTTCGAGTCAGATACCGGCATTGGCGCTTCATCCTTTCAACCTTTTATTCTTACTTTTTTCTCTTTTTTTTTTTTTTTGCTTCTTTCTCTCTCTCTCTCTCTCTCTCTCTTCTTTCTTCTTCTTCTTTTCTCTTCGTTTACGCAACGTTGACGTAAAGGGGGAAGATCGTCCTAGAACCTGTTTATGCTTTTCTTACCATCGAAGCATACCTACATCTAGCCTTTTTACTTTCTTCTTCTTCCCTCTCTTTCTCTTTCTCCTGTTCTCCTATACCAATCATATCCCTCGGAATCTTTCGGCTTGTTCGCTCGCTTGCTCTCTGCCTTTTTCCTTATACATATACACCCACCCCCTCCTCCGGGGCTGTCTCTCCCTCTTTCCGACTGTCATGGCGTCGAGACGAGACAGATGTATGCGTGTTCCGGCGAGTCAACACACTGTTGGGCGTCGGATCCAGAGATCCGACCAGTCGACCCAAGACAGACCCTGGGGGAGGTGAGTCTTGGGAACTATGCAGTTCTTGTCTCTCTTTCCTTTTTTTTTTTTTTTTTTTTTTTACTTTTTCCTTTTCCTTCTTCTTACTA